TGTGAAATAGATGCATAAGAATATTGTGCTCCTTACAAGAACTCCGAATCATTCTCTTGAAGCTTATCATCTTCATCATAAATGATCTGCTTGTCCCGAAATGACCCAGCCCAATAGGAAAATCCCAATTCATTGGGCCTTCTTTTCACACTATTTCAGATATGAAAAGAATGGGAAAAACAAGATTCAATTGTCAACTACTCCTATCGAAAATAGGATTAACTAGGGATTCGAGCAATAGCACATGCTCAAAGAGTCGAAATTTATGGGATATCAGGAGAAGCCAACTAGCCCTCCAAGAGATAATTAGAGTTGGTTAACTAAAAAAAATAAAAGTAGAGATATGATTATTTGACACTTTCACATATCATTTAAAATTCGTTAGATCTAGTCAGATGAGGAATATGTTGCTACTTGCTACGATAGATAGTGATTTGAAGGGCATTTCTCATAGGAGAATGTGTCCTACTTTATAGTTCTTTTATTTTCGCTCATTTAAAAATAAAAAATAAAAAAAATCTAAGCACAAAATCAACACTCTATGTCAAAACTTTTTATTTAACACTTGAAAAAAGTATTCTGATATATTATAGAATTATGTAAATACTTTGTACAAAGGTTCTCTATTTATAAAGAATACAAGACCTAGAATACTTGACCTAATGGGCTAAGCCCAATACAACAAATAATAAATAAATAAATAATATTAATATTTACAACACTCCCCCTCAAGCTGAGGAATAGATATTTATCATTCTCAGCTTGCTATAGTAAGCTCTTGAAATCTATCTGAAGGAAGTTCCTTTGTCAATATATCAGCTAATTGACGCCTGGTGGGAATGTAGGGTGTGGTAATCAACCCGCTATCAAGTTTCTCTTTGATGAAATTGCGGTCGACCTCAATATGTTTAGTCCGATCATGTTGAACCGGATTATGAGCTATACAAATAACTGACTTATTATCACATAGCAGCTTCATTGGTCCCTCACATTTTATTTTGAGATCATCAAGTATAATTTTCAGCCATAGTAACTCACAAATGCCTTGAGCCATGGCTCGAAATTCAGCCTATGCACTTGATCTGGCAACCACATCTTGTTTCTTACTTCTCCATGTCACCAAGTTACCACAAAGAAACATACAATAACCAGTGGTAGAACGACGGTCCGTCACAGATCCAGCATAATCAGCATCAGAGTAGACTTCTAAAGAGAGATTGCCATCTCACCGGAATAACAGTCCTTTACCAGGAGTAGCTTTAAGATACTGAAGAATTCTCTCCACTGCCTGCATGTGTTTCTCCTTTGGATCATGCATAAACTGACTGACAACACTAACAGCATAAGCTAAGTCTGGTCTAGTATGGGCCAGATATATCAATTTCCCAACTAGCCGTTGATATTGTCCTTTATCAACTGGAGGACTCTCATCTTCAAAGCCTATCTTGTGATTCTACTCAATAGGAGTATTAGAGGGTTTACACCCGAGCTTTCCTGCTTCTTTGAGAAGATCCAAAACATATTTCCTCTGACTGATAAAAATTCCTTTGCTTGAATGAGCTACTTCTATCCCTAGGAAATATCTCAGTTTCCCAAGGTCTTTGACTTCGAACTCAGAGGCAAGCCGTGTCTGCAGAATCTGTCTCTCCATAAAATCATCACCTGTGATAATAATATCATCAACATATACAAGGAGCACAGTAAGCTTCCCATTTTGGGAGTGCTTGAAGAAAAGAGTGTGATCTCCTTGACTCTGTCTGTATCCTAAGGTCATCATAACCAGTGGCGGACGCAAAAATTTTAATAAGAGGGGGCGAAAATAAAAAATACTATATCGTAAATAAAAGTACTTGAAATACAATACAAACTTAATATACAAAAAATTGAAAGAAATTTATTACAGAAATTAATATCACTTCACTTACTCTTGCTCTACGTGTTTTCATATTATTAAACTTATATATAATTGAATCCGTGCTAAAACTCAAAATAATTTCTTTTTCAATGTATGTAATCAAGATAGTCTATGACTATACACACATGCAATGATCTTAGAAAGGTGGAAGTTGATTCTGCTTGGCTCTAGAATTTACACAGCCAAAATCGAAAAGCTAAAGAAGATAGTGATGGACGGAACACAGAAAGAAGAGAGAGAGGATGATATGATGTTCTCAAGAAAAAATATGGGTAAGAGTGTAAGCAGAAGCATGGGGAATTGAAGGAAAAAACATGTACATCACGGTAATTTCATCATCACATTTTTTTACATATATTATAAAAAAAATTCCCAAATTTTAGAGGGGGGCGAGGGCCCACCCTAGCCCCCTACTGGGTCTGCCCTTGATCATAACCTTAGTAAACCTTCCAAACCAAGCACGAGGTGACTGCTTCAATCCATACAAGGCCTTTTTTAATCTACAAACTTTATTTTCCCCTTCACAAAATCAAAACCAGGCGGGATTTCCATGTAGACTTCTTCTAACTCACCATTGAGGAAAACATTTTTCACATCAAATTGATTTATATCCCAATTGTAATGGGCAGCAAGGGATAACAAGATTCTCACCGTATTCATCTTTGCAACTGGAGCAAAGGTTTCTTCATAATCAATGCCATAGGTTTGAGTGTAACCTTTGGTGACCCATCTGCACCCTACTGCTTTCTTTCCGTTGGGTCTATCAATAACCTCCCATGTTTTATTTTTCTCCAACGCATTCATCTCCTCTTGCATGGCTTGAGCCCAATTTCCATCTTTCAAGGCTTCATGTACTAATTTTGGAATTACAATAGAATCTAGTGCTGAAACAAAGCTTTTGTGCTGCACGGAAAGATTAGCAGAGGAAACAAAGTGGGAGATAGGGTATTGAGTACAAGAGGGACATGAGGAACAAGTTTTCTTGTGACAAGATCTTTTTCCTTTTCTAAGAGCAATGGGCAAATCATCAGAATCAACATTAATGGGTAACTCATCAGAAGTATTAACATCATGATCAGAAATATGAGATTCAGGAGAAACAGGAAACTCAGAAGAAAAAGGAGATTCAGGACTTACCAGTGGTTCAGACGATTGAGGTTGTTGGTGAGACAGTATGAGTTGTTTCCTCCTCTGATATACCAATTTAGGTGTCAAAATTTTCTGTATCTCAGGTGTATTTGAAGGTTCTGACACACCAGGAGCAGATACACTAGGTAGAGAGAAGACTGATCCAGGCTCAAAGAAGGAAGGGGACGAGTCTTCTGAAGAACTGTTCTCCCCCTGACGATGAGGACCCATGAAATAAGATTCAGATTTTTGAAAGGTGACATCCATAGAAACAAAAAAATTTCGACTTGGTGGATGATAACACTTGTACCCTTTTTTATAAGGGGTATAACCAAGGAAGACACACTTAAGAGCCCTAGGATCTAACTTACTCCGATGTTGTTTATGAACATGGACAAAGGCAACACATCCAAACACTCTTGGTGGAAGGCTCTGCAATATGGGAACAGAAGAAAAGAAGGAAGTCAGGGAATGAATAGGACTGATATTGTTCAGGACCCGTGAAGGTAAACGGTTGATCAAAAAAGTTGCAGCTAACACTGCTTCTCCCCATTAAGAACTAGGAACAGATGTCTGGAGAAGTAGTGCCCTAGCAACTTCAAGAAGGTGACGATTTTTCCTTTCAGCAACCCCGTTTTGTTGAGGGGTATCAACACATGTGAGCTCATGAGTCATACCTCTGTCTGAAATGAATTGTGACAGGCGTTGATTGACATACTCAGTACCATTATCAGATCTGAGTCTTTTAATACCTTTACCAAATTGAGTCTCAACCATGTGATGAAACCGAATAAATATCTCTGGTACTTCAGACTTGTCTTTCATCAAGTATATCCATGTTACCCGAGTACAATTGTCAATAAAAGAAACAAACCACCTTGCACCTGAAACACTGTGCACTTTAGAAGGGCCCTAAACATCAAAATGGATAAGAGAAAAAGGTTCCTTGCTTTTAATAGTGCTAGAAGGAAATGACACTCGATGGTGTTTTGCAAATTCACAAACATCACAATGAAAGGTCTCAACCGACTTATTGAGAAACAGAGAGGGGAACATAGACTTCAAAAGACTAAATGGTGGATGCCCCAGACGCTTGTGATGGAGCCAAATCATAGACTCTGCAGTAGAAGGATGACGTGTCATTAATAACTGATTTTTGCTAGCATGGTCTGGAAGGAGATGATACAACCCATCCTATTCATTAGCAACTCCAATTGTCTTCTTCGTGGTAAGATCCTGATACACAATGAGAAGGAAAAAATGTGATAGAACAATTCAAATCAGTTGTAAGTTTTTGAGTGGAGATAAGATTAGTAGAAAGCTGAGGAACATAAAGGACATTCTTAAGAAACAAGGAAGGTTGAATTTGAATGTTACCAGAACCAATAACTGATTTATGGGATCCATCAACTACGGATATAGTATGACTACCAACAATAGGGTGATAAGAACAAAACAACTCAGTACGACAAGCCATATGATCAGTTGCACCAAAATCCAAAATCCACGAGGTTTTAAAATCAGTGCAAGAAGCAAGACGAGATGTAGAACGTGTGTTCTTATCAGATAAGATCAAAGAACGGTCATATGGCTTACACATATTATCAATAGCGGGTTTAAGCTGATCCATGAAGAGGAGACAAAAAAACAAGCAAGAATATTTTTTTTTTTTTTGTGAATAGTACCCGATGAACAATACCGCGTGAATAGTACGTGATAAACAGTACCATATTTTTTTATTTTTTTTTTGAGCTGTTCCAGTTATCTGATGACACGTACAAAGTAAATATTAATTCTTTCAGTTGGATAACTGGAAAGTATCATCAACTGAAACAAGTGTAGGAAAGGACTTACGCTTTATAACTGGATTTGAATATGGGGTTTATTTTAATTTTCCCCACTGTTGACATAACACGCGCGTGAGCACGTGCCGTGGACTAGTAATGGAAATTTAAAACCCTGCTAGTGAAAATTGTTCATTGTTCAGTCATTAGGGTTTAGGTCTCCCCTCTCTGCAAGTGCGAACTACGACACTCTCCTCTCCGTGCAATCGTTCATTGATTTTGGCAGCCATGGCGAGCACCAAAGTTCAGAGGGTTATGACTCAGCCCATTGTACGTCTCTCACTCATTCTTTCTCTTTCGATTTTTATTTTCCTTTAACCTAACGTCATTCATTTCCTGGTTTGGTCAGAACTTGATTTTCCGGTTCCTTCAAAGCGTAAGTCGTTTCCTACACTTCTTTCTGTTGATGATAAGTTCTGGGCTTCTCCTAATTTCCTTTATTCTTTGTCTCACTTGATTTTCTTTCTCTAATTGTAATTTTCACAGAAAGCGCGCATTCAGATTTGGCTCTTTGAGCAAAAGGATTTGAGGATTGAAGGTCGAATCATTGTAAGTTTTATTTTACATGCTTGTTTGGTACATGGGTACTGATCAAAATGGTGTTTTGTCGACTTTAAAATGTTTTGCTAAGAGATGGATAGTATTCATCACGCGGGAAGGCGTTGTGATATTTTTTGAGAATTATGTGTGACTTCAGATGTGCTCTGTGTGACTTCATTTTTCTCTTTTGTTTGTGTGGGACTGTTGGCCATTGCTGGCAGCTGGTGTCTTGCCAACAGGCCTGAAACTTAGTACTCTGTTTTGAATTTTTTGATTCAGAACAATGTCCTTTTTTTCCCACTATACGCAGCATCAACTGTATAATGGATTTGTTTATTTAAGTGGCAGAACAGATAAGTCACTGCTAATAACTTAAAATATCTTACATAGCTTTATTAGTGGTGGAATTCGTATAAGCGGGTCACGTTGGGTTGAGGTTGGACACGAACACAAGGGCATTCTGCATAAACACTACATGAATAAAGATGCGTGTCTAAACCTTCGACAGGAACACGACTCGCTTATTTTACTAGTTGACACGGATAACCAGCCAACCTCAAAGTATTTTACTTATTATGTGGGTTGACACAACACAACACTTTCTCAATTACAATTCCCACATTTGGTCATTTTACGTGAAAGGTCATTACAAATATACATTTTCTGTGCCAATCAGGAGAGAAAAAGTTTGTTTTGCATATTGACAGGAATTGGGGAAATGTTTACTGATTTACATTGCTAATAGAATCTTCAAAAAGATATGAAAAATTGAAGATATAAAATAATCTGATATTTTTCCCACAGAGTATTTCCAGTCATACACTTTAAATTAACAAGAATTATTTATCCCCTTATCTTCCGAGTAGTTGGGATTGTTCTCCTGCTTTGTGTGATGTGAGCTCATATCTAAAACAGTCTGATATAAAATTTGAAGACTTCAGGATTTTTGTGAACTTTTTGGTTCATGAGCTCATATTGAAGGGGGAAATGCTTGGTTGTTATGTTATCATTGTAGATAGCATAATCCCATTTATAAAGTTGAATATTTGATCTGATGGTTAAGGATCATGTGATCTTATTGTTTGTTAAACAGGGTTTTGATGAATACATGAATTTGGTTCTGGATGATGCTGAAGAAGTAAACGTCAAGAAAAAGAGCAGAAAGACATTAGGTATGCTAAAGTTTCTCAAATTTTGTTCTTTTTGTCCTTGCCACTTTCTCATGCATTTCCTGAAGGATATTATTGTTTTGATTAGGGAGGATCCTTCTTAAAGGAGACAACATAACCTTAATGATGAACACGTAAGTGAAATTAAAATTGTACTCTCATCTGTTTAGTGGTTTTCTTTTTCTAAATTTAACTGAAATAATTTCCTCTGATAAATTGCAGGGGAAAATGATGATGAGCACTTTCGGGTAGTTGTAAACTGTATGTCATATTCAACAAGGAGGCAGATTTATCTTTCCCTCTTCAGTTTTATTACTCTTTCTGGTTAACATTTTGAATATGATGTGTGAGAAACATTATGATGTATGACAGTATGGATATTTCGTGCACTAGATAAATTCTTAGTTGAGCAGATTAACATGGTTTGTTGGTCTGCATAATTCTGCCTTCTTTTGGTCTGTATAAATATCCAGATTCCAGCATCGAAACTAACTATATTATGATTCCAAAAAGTATAACATTATAACCTTTTGCCCATTCATTGACTTTGCCCTCTTATCATATTATATCATATCATATTCAATCATTTAGAGGAGTAAATTGTATTGATTTCTTTGGGACATCTGGTTGTTGTGTTTGCTAAGATTTTGCAGAAGACAAATGCCCAGCATGCATGATAATGAATTAAAGGGAAAACTATTTGTGCTTTAAAAGAATTGAAGTTGTGTCTTTTTAGTTTTTTTACTCTATGTTCTCTCAGTTTTTTTTTTCTCTCTCCTCAGTCACATCGGCTGATGTGGAAAGTGAAAAAAGCAAATTTTCATGTTATAACTATATACTACCGGGAGTACATAGAGTAAAAAACTAAAATGACACAATTTACATCTTTTAAAAGAACACATGCTAAACCCATGAATTTTTTAATGCATTTTGACAGCTTTATTACTCCGTGACCATAACTCAATGTAGATCTATTGATTTAGATTATTCCCAATATACTGCACTAATTAATGTAAGATGATTTCTGATAGTTCTAGTAGCATTTTTTTTTAATATAAAGGAGAAAAATGCACAAATTTACAGTGTAACTAATATCTAACAAATTGTTGTTGTGAATTCTTTTATTTGTTCTCTTATTTTTTGTTTGGCTACGTTGCCATTGGTAGAATAGAATGAAATGGCGGGAATGTATTGAAATGACATTCATTTTTATTGTTTGAATTTTTTAGAAATGATGAAATGAAGTGGATCTGAATGGACACTATTGTATCTCATTCAATCCAATACTTTATATTTTTTTCCTTTTAATTTGAGATAGAGAATGTAATCAACATATTTTACAGTAATGTAATTATTGAATTACACTGTTATTCTTAAACCCGAAATAAAGTATCTGAGTGTTTTCATTGCTAGTGGTTGATGCTTCCTTGGGTCATGTTTTCATAGTTTTTCGCTTGTTCCCCATTTTTGGTCTTTTTCTTGACAAGTTGAGCATTCATCCGTTAGATGCATTATGTTTATGACATTATAGCGCCAAGATATAATTTAGATTAGTCAGATTTGAAGCTTCTTAGCTATGCTTTTTAATTCCTATATAAGTACTGTCAGAACAAGAAGTAAGAAATACATGGCATATTTTTCACAGATAACTTTTATATCTTTCCGGCCTCTTCTCATTCTTTTTTTATTGTTTGACACTGTGGTTCAACAAAATTAACATATATGCATTATTCTAATTTGATTAGTATTATTTATATAAGACAAAAAGTAACGTGTACTTTTAGATATCAATTTAAAAAGTAAGTTTTTTTTCCTTGGAATACTGCATTTTTTGTGAAACTAATATTCATAGTTTCTAAAATAGAGGTATTAGTAAAAAGCTAATTAGTTCTCTCAAAATCCAATGATGTCTCTACCCTCTGTGTTGCAACGTTTATGTTTCTTAGGATGGTTGCATTTTCATATGTTTTTGATGGAAAAAGTGTGTCTTTTTTTAAAAAAAATTAGATCCTTTTAAGAGAGAGATATACATAAAACAATATGTTTTATTTAAAATTTAATTTAAAAAGAAAAACCTCCGCTCTCTTTGCCTTTCAATTTATCTCTCTGAATGACATTATTTAATTTCTATTCTTATTTTCTTTTCACATTCGAACACTAAAAAATAATCTTTCCAGTGCATAGATATCAAAAAGTTATGTGAAATCAATAAAAAAAAATTACCCGATTTCATTTGAGTCAGAAGTTATAGCTTTCTAATAATGAGTTGACTTGTTTTGCTATGAGGCAATCTATAGCACTAATAGCGAATTTGTCTTGTTCTGTCATGTGACAGTTGAAACTCGCTACAATTAACAGGGAGTTAAGAATCGTCACATTTCGACAAATTTTTTCAGCCTTATGGCATTCAAGTAAATTTTTTAAAAGCGCAACAGTACAATCAATGTCCCCTAATAGTATTTTTTTTTTTTTAATACAAACCTTTTAATTTAGTCTTTGTGATAATTTAGCTCTAAAACTTTTCTGATACTTTTTTTATCACAAGGGTATATAAAGTTCATTATAAACTTTTGTGATAAATCTTATAAAAACTTTCACACTTTTCTGATAATCTAACTCACAGTGAAAATAAAACGTGCTCAGTAAACTAGGAAGGATTATAAGAGTTCCTGAATTCGATGAGACTAGCATATTGATTTCAACTGAGACGTGTTCATGTAAAATTGCGGACATATTTCTTCATTACATCTAATTCACGAACTGAACTGCTGAAGTCATTCATTAGACTCTCCCGGATGCGTAAAAGGATTCCTCTATTATAATTTGGAGACCATAAAGTTTCCGCAAGGAATTTTCGGTTCTAACACGAGAAAGAAGCAGAGGCTTTTAGGCTTCATTAATAACCTAGAAGTTGAGGAAACTTGTACTCATATTACCAGTAGAGCCTATGAATTCCATGTCTAGCTATTGTATTCTCCTTCTAAATTATTCTATTTTTAAAATAAAATGAGGTTAACTTCTGAATTGTTTCTGCGAATCCTGCATCATAAATTAGAAGACAAAGGATTTTTTTAGGGGGGGTATATTGTTAGTAACGTAAGTATTTATTATATGCATTGCACTGATATTTATTATATGAAAATCAAGGTATGAAATGTACACTTTTATGCTCGGCAAAATGAACATACGCCAAAGCGAGTTGCAATTTGTAGATTCCGTTGCTATTCGTAGGAGTGAGTCATGTTTGTGTTTGTGTCGTGCAGAGGATTAACACCAATATAATTACAATCAATCCAAACAGTATATGAATAAATATTCGAGTCAAAATCTTTAATATAAATGCTGTTTATTTTATGATATAAATAACTGTCAATCTCAATTTTATGTTTTCTCAACCGACTTATTATGTGGGTTGATACACATAACATAGAATATTTGTGTATTGAATTTCGCCTTCACTAATTTATAAAATAACCAAACAAAAATATGACATGACATGACACTAATTACTGGCTACTGGCTAGTCAAAAACGTAATTAACCACAAAAGTGCAGGTCATTGTCATGTTTATAAGTTGACACAAAATATTAGTGTTATTTTTTTCTAACATGAACGCCACACGAATGTAAATGTGGGTCTAAGTAAATATAAAAATCGTGTGTCATGTTAGCGGATGGTGTAATGAATTGCCACTATTCACATAACCATGATTGAAATTAATGATAAATATATTATTTAACGATTCGATATGAACAATATTTCATTTTTTATAAAATATTGTTTAATAACAATCATCATTAGATAATTTGAAAATGATTAAAGTCTTTTATTTATTGTTTGATCATAAAATAACAAGTTGACGTGTTTGAAATAAGAGTAATCTAAGAACAATAAGCTTATAATACTCACAATTTTATTCACTTTTTGAATAAGGAAATAAAACTTCTATTTTATTATTAAATATTTAAATAATGGTATGATAAATTATTTTTGATTTTTTTGGATGTATAATGGTGTAGTAATTTATTTTATTTCATTAGGTGGGCGAGAGATTAACAATTTCGTATCTCCTCTCTTGGCAATTAGTATCTCTGACCGAGTCAAGAAATTGGGTATTGCATTGAGTTTAAATGAAAAATGCTAAGAGGAAGAAATTAAGCTCAGATGTAGCCATGTGCCAAGCTGAATTTCTATTTTTGATGCATTTACTAATTCCCTTGCGTGGATGTGGATCTTGAACCCTCTATTAGCTGCAAATACTAACAACCTGTTTGGTGGTCAACTTCAAAGAACTTTAACATATGCATTCTCTTGTACCTATAGGTTTTCTTTTCAATCATTTGAGATAGTTGTCTTACACAATTGTCTTATATAGATCTAGTAAGATTCGGATAAGATGTTCTATTATTACTTTTATTATCAATTTATAGAGAAAATTAAAAAGAGAGCTTCTCATGGTGCGTACACATCTTAGAGAATGTTTACTTTGATGTGATTATTTCCGTAAGTACTTATATTTATAATTTTGCAAAGTTGTAAGAATATAATTGTTTAAGCCTTGTGTGTAGTGTGTGGTGGGGGTTGTATTTGGTGTTCAAACTTAAACCTTGCGGATTATTATTTATTTATTTATTACATTGACACTAAAATTCTTTTGAACATACTTAAATGTTTTCTCTCCAACATTATTACGTGAAGGGGAATATTATATTTACAAACTTTTTATTTACAAACTCTTACAAATTATACTAAGTATAACCAGTTATACTTAGTGTAATTTATAAAAAAAAATTGTAAAGGGATCCTTCCTTGCATGAATATAAACAAGTGTGTTGGGACGAGAAAGATGACTATTGAAGGGGCAAGGGGTACTCCGTAATCCGTATTGACAAAAACATTACAAAAGAAGAAAAAGTGAAGGGCGATCCAAACAAAGAGGAAGAGAAGGATATTTATCGTCATCCTAAGGGAAGGAGGAGAGGATGGGTTGGAGCTACAGAGCTTTCACATGATTAAGACATATCAGAAGGATGGTTAATGTATGGGTCGAAATTAGAAAATGATCGGTGACCAAATTCGTTGGGCATTCAAATTTGGAGCTAGAAGTGGCCTTATGGGTCCCTGGTTCATGTCATGTCCTCAATGAACCATTGTGTTCAGCTAGCACAATTTATAGTCATATTTTGTCTTCCCATGAGCAAACATGTGTCCTGTTCATCCTTTGTTATTTTCTACCCACTACTCATACTGATGATCCAGTCATACTCCACATATATCTTATCCTGTGCCTCACTACATCTCTCTAATTCAGCATTGCAATATACTTTGTTTTTTCCCCATTTCTATGATGACCTTATTATATTCCTTATCTCGGAAAATGTTACATACAAGACAAGGTTAATTCAGGAAAGGTGTTGTCTAGTGTCCACGAAAACCACCTCTGAGTGGCTAGGTGAAAACTTTTAATTTGCCACATTTGTCATATCATGATAATCCTAGTACAAATCCCCCTGAAGTGACAAGTTGGTACTGGCCGTGTGGGATTTT